ATTGGAATCGTTTGGACAGTGAAATTGTTAACGCTAATTCAGTAATTGATTTTAAAAATAAACTTAAAAAGTTTAGCGAAAAACAGTTGTTAAAATCTTACATCTACAGTTGTTAGATTCTTTCTTGAAACTCTCAAGAACACAGCTTCAATTATTATTATTATTATATATATATATATATATATATATTATATATATATATATATATATATATATATATATATATATATATATATATATATATATATATATATATATATATATATATATATATATTACAATATATTATATTGCTATGTTTAGCATATTAACATTAAGTTTTTTTTTTTGTGTCCATTTTGTGGATATATTCGATAACCAAACTTGTTCTCTAACTTGATAATTTTAGTAAAACTTTAAAAAAAGAAGTGTTAATGACATTTGTAAATAGGATTAAATAAATAAGCCATAAGTAATTAATAGATTATCAAAGCCACCCCAACGAATGGGTAAGATTGATAACATTTTGTACTTAAAAAAAAAACTAGCGCGACCAAAAAAGAAAAACACATTTAATAAAATCCTATTAAGAAAAGGTATAATACTATATCGGCAAAAAAAAAAAAAAAACAGAAAAAATTTTTATAACAATGACTTTATTTTTGCAAAAATGCTCAATAACCTATCAAAGTCACACCAATGTATAATTATAATACTAGGTATAGTTTATAGTAGTTATGATTATATATACCCGTAATTATATTTAGTTATACCATTTTAAGGTATAACTAAATATAATCATATTTAATTACAATCTACTTTAACCCTAATTTTTGGTAGATAGAAGAAAAGTAACAAAAATTAGTAGGTAATTATATTTATTTACAATCTACTTTCACCCTAGTTTTTGGTAGATAATTTGTATTTAAAATATGTATATAAAAACTAACAGCTATTTGTTCAAGCAATTTGTTCTTTATAAATAAAACTTTATATTTATTTTAGATTTTTTTTGATATATTAAGGTAAGTAGCCACTTACCATAATATATCAAAATAAAGTTTTGAAAAACAGTCATGTTTTGATTATGAGTACAAGGAAAAGCAAAATTGTTTAATAACATGAAAGTATTGTTAACTAATAAAATTGCATAGTCTACAGCAGTATCTAAAGAAATACAACTGATAACGCTTGCTCCAACCGGCTGGTCAATAAAAAAAGTTTCTGAAAAATTGCATGTAACAAACTATATAGCTCGAACTGCAAGTAAGTTAGCATTAGAAAAGGTTATTTTAGCTTTTTTAATCCTAAATTAGGAAAAGCTCCTCCTAATGTAACAGTTCAACTAGTCAAGCCTTTTTATGAGGATGATGAATTTAGCCGTATAATGCCTGGTTAAAAGGACTAAGTAAGCATAAAGAATAACCTTCACATGCAAAAATGTTTGCTCTTATGTAATTTAAAGGAATTGTTTGTTGCCTTCAAAACCATGAATCCAAAAATAAAATTAGGGTTTTCAAGGTTTTGCACATTGCAAACAAATTGGTGTGTTACAGCAGGTGCTTCAGGAACACATTCAGTATGCGTCAGTGCTTTTCATCAGAATTTAAAATGCTTTTACATTCTCTTGGTGTGACATACAAATAACTGTTACCTTATATTGTATGTGACATGACTAACAAAGACTGTATGATGTAGAAACTTGAAAGATGCTCAGCAACTATAAATGCTTTGGTTGAAATTAATTTAGTTTGAGAGTTTGCAGATAACTATGAAGTAGAATTTGATCAGTGGATAACAAAAGATAAGAGAAACTTAACAAATAATAAAGAGTCAGTGTCTGAATAGATTGAACTAGTACGTGAAAAACCTACAAAACTTGCACCACACTCGTATTTAGCTAAGAGTCAAGCATTATACCTGAGATCATGAAAAGAAGATATGTACACTTCATCCTGTGATTGTTTATTTCAAAAAAGAAGGTTTTTTCGAGCACAAATCTTTTTGTATTGTTTCAGATGATACGATGCATGATGTAAAAATGGTGTATAAAATTATTGATGTTGTAAGCAATGATATTAGAACAAATCTACCTCAAATAAAAATATTGAATACTTGTCAGATAGGTGTGCAGGTCAATATAAGAACTGCATAATTATTTTAAACTTTTGTTTCCATCTTGAAGATTTTGGTCTTTCTAACGTTTTTGTTATTAGTCATTGTAAGAAACCTTGTGATGGGATAGGTGATATAGTCATACGCTCAGCAACACTAGGACGGTTGCAATTAAATATGGGAAATCCTATTTTATTTCCACAAGTTATTTAAAAATATTGCAATGAAAACATTTGAGGTGTACATTTCATTTATATATCATCAGAAGATTTTACTTTCGTGAGAAACATTCTAAAGGAACAACTATATACTGCAAATACCATACCTGGAACCCAAAGTTACCATTAGTTTGTACCACTAGGTCTTTAAAAGGTAAAAAAAATAAATATTTAATATGCCTTTTATTACTTTTAACATGGAAACATCGATGTCACAACTGTAAACTTAGTACCATGTGATTTTGCCTGTGTTTCCTATGAGAAAACGTGATGGATAGGAGCCATTGAAGACATTAATCTAGAAGAAAAAAATGCACTTGTCAAATTTATCCAAATGGTCCTGCATGGCCATTTAAATGACCACCAGTGGATATATATAACATTGGCATGTTGGATTCCAGATGTCCACATCATTTTTAAAGTTGAAGAACCAACTACAAAAACAGGACTTTTCTTCTATTTAACCAAATACGACTTGAAAAAAATTATTTTTCTTAGGAAATAGAGATGTTTATATTTAAACTAATTTCAAGTTTGCTGACTTTGATATGTCTTATCCATACTTTATTTTAATCTTTTATTTTTTGTACAATTTATAAATAAAATGAATGAAAAGCATACATATAAAATCACTTAAATTAAATATTTATTTTTAAAAGTTTTTTTTTAACTTATATTTTTGTAAAAATTTATTTAAAATAATAAAGTTACTAAACTGTCAATTTCTAATTTGATTAACTTGTAAAAAGTTATGATAGATTGCCTGCTTTTTAAAATATCACAAAATTATTTGTTCATATCAAACCTCAATAACTCCTAAAGTAAACGCGAGGCCAAAATAAATTGGTTTGTAAAGATAATATAGAACTTATCTTTAAGAAAATAAAAATAGTTTTTTTTTTCTATTAGTAAGATTTTTTTTATAGCTATAATTGTCAATGCTCTTTTTTATTTTCATTATTAACTACATTTTATGAAACTTAAAATTAACTACATTGCCTTGCTTCGAGAGATACTAAACTAAAGTTTTTGGATTTAGTAGGTTTTAAATTCTTTTGGTACCAAGTTTCAGCATCGCAACCTTACTAAAAGCATTGTATAAAGGTAATAATAAACAGAAACATTTTTGGCATTTCCCCCTCCCTCCTCCTTTTCCAAGTTCCAAGTCAAAATCAAACAAACTTCAACTTGCTGTTAATCCTAAAAAAAAAATTTCATAAAAAAAAATTTACAGCCTTTCCTAAGTTATGTCTCTAAATATTTGTGCCAAATATCAGAAAATTTGGTGATGTAGGGTGTCGATTTGTGTTTTAGTGTTGTTTTTGTGTTAAATGTTCCTTATACCAAGTTGCGACAAATGAACAGTTATAAAATTACTTGTGAAGTTGCTTTTTTTTTCCTTTCTCTAAATGCCCCAAGAAGTCATTACAGTCTTTTCACAAAGCACCGCAGAAGAGCATTTGAAGGAAAGTTCACGCCTCTTTCCTTACCGATGTTATAAAATTTACCTTGAGATGACGTTGAACTAGGGATCTCTAGTTTCTGAGGCAAGCGCGTTAACCACTGCGCTACGGCTTTAACAAAATTAAAAATGAAAAATCATTAGCAGAATAAAAGAAAGTCAAAATACAAGCCAAAAAAGTTTTGCGTACGAAAATAAAAGGCAAATTCAATTAAGGCTCAAAAACGCAGGACAAAAGAAACTGATTAACCCAACAAACCTCTTTTTAAACGCCAGTAACAAAAACAGACAGAATTAAAATTTTTAATAGAAAAAAACTTTTTTTAATTGTGTTGCCCACAACATTAGAAAACTGGTTTTTATAATTTTTGATGTTAAATTTATAATATTGCGATATGTTATTAGGATATATATAGTTACCGAACTTATTTGATGGTATTGAAAGTTCGAAGAAACTAAATGTTCTCTTGTGAAATACAATATCGGACACAAGATGCTCTCCAGTGAAATTCAGTATTGAATAGTTTTTTTTTTTAATATTTTGTTTTTATACTACAATTTAACGATATAATTATTTGTATAATTCCAAAAAAATAAATTGAAAAAACATTTATTTATGCCTGAGATTATGAATGTTTAAAACTTAAAACTTATTGTATATAGTTTTTCGAACATAGGCGATATTATGTAAATAATTTATTAAACTCAAGCGATATTACGGTATATAATTTTTTAAACTTAAGCAATATTACGGGATATAATTTTTGCTACTGTTTTACTAAAAACTATTTAAACTTATCTTTACTTTGTAAATAATATTATTAATTATTAAAACGTATTAGGGATCGTCCATACATTGCGCAACGCCAAATTTCACTAACAAACAAATCAAAAGTAATCAAAAGTTTTCTTTTGCAGAGCCTTAATTTAAATAAAAAATCAAAATAGCACATTAAGTTTAAAGAAACTTAATGTGCTATTTTGACCACCACCGTGTTAAAGATTTCCTCCTACTTTTGTTTTTTAATACATTTGGCGTTGCATAATTTATGGACACTCCGTTGAAGCATTTTATCCTATGAGAATGCAATATAAAATATAAAAAATTTTATGCGATTAGTGTATTTATTTTAATTCTCCTTACACAAATTTTGACTGCCCACGCACTATCCACAAACACATAATATAAAAGATTTGATAGGTGAAAAAATTAGACAAAAACTTACCACTTGGAAACTGATTAAAACAAGAAGCAAACCTTGTAACTTTTTAATTTTTCTTGGATTGTTTGGCATGTTTATTTTCAATTTTCTTTATCTTGCTTAAGTTAAACGTGTTTGATATTAGCTTTTCTTTATTTAATTAAGCTGATGTTATTTTTTTTAATGCTGCTTTGTTTCGTAAACGTTTTGGCGTGTTTCGGAAATTTCTGAAGTACAATAAAATATGTAACAATATTATAAAGTTAAGGAAAGTATACAGGGGCAATTTTAGGGAATGAGTGTGTGAGAAAGGTGTTCCACCCCCTCCCCAAATGAAGGTGATTTTCAAGTTATAGTTGGTTTATTGACGAATATAGTCGGGTAGTAGGGTATTTATCACAAATCAGTCGGGTGAATTTTAATTTTGGGGACTTTTTTTTTTCTAAGGAGCCAGTTAAGGATTTACCCCCCCCCCCCCTCATTTTATTCGTATTGCCACTGAAAGTATACATTTTAATTCTTTAATTCATTGAGAGAATTTATTAAATAACTGCCATTATTTCTATACAGTTTATATAATATTTTGAATAAATGATAGTTATTAAGTAACCACAAAGTAAACACTTTCATACTACAAATGAAAAAAAAAGATTCAATAATCTTAAAGATGTTATCTAATACACCGTAAGAAGTGAGCTTATAGAAAAGACAAGCACGTCAAACGTTATCAAAGGCTTTAGAAATGTTAAAGGCAAATGTAAAGCCTTAACCTCTTCACACCTACAAATGCACGATAAAACTTATTTGTTATTACCGTTAACAAATCAGGAGAACGCAAATAGTGGAATCAAGGTATAATATCGATAAAAAGTTTTTAGCAAATAATTCAGTTTTATCTTTAGATGAGGCCATAATTCTGAACCATGTAAGAGAGATGGAATAACAGATTTGCCTTTAATATAGGCACTGTTAAAGGTTCTCCAGAAGACTCGGATTTTTTTGATCTGAGAATAGTGGGCTTTATTATTGGACAAAACCTTTTTACAATAGTTTCTAACAATACTAAACTGACGTCTGTTTTCTGAAGAATTATTTTAGTGATAGGTATGGAAGTAATGGTTACGATTAAAAAAAGCAGCAGCTCAATGAGAGGAAAATAATGGAGAAGAGTAAGACTTGGTATTGTCATGAGGTAAAAAAAGATTCCATGCAAGCCTAAATCCATGAGACAGCTAAACTTAATTTAGTCTCACAAAGAGCAAGTAGGCCTTGTAATTTTTGCTACAGATTAGACTCAACAAAAAGAAAAGTTATTTCAAAGACCACAAAATTAGTGAATGATAGATTCAGAGAACTTGGTGATAACGATGGTTTTTTGTGTTTTATAGTTTTTTGGTGCATTAGAAATTTTTTGGATTTGTTAAAGAACTCAAAACACAAATAGTACACAGCACATTATTTAACACAGTTATCTCAATACTATTAATAAATTCGTAGCCGTAACAATGTATCTCAATACTATTAATAAATTCGTAGCCGTAACAAACATGTATCTCAATACTATTAATAAATTCGTAGCCGTAACAATGTATCTCAATACTATTAATAAATTTGTAGCCGTAACAATAAGCTCCAAATGTGGTACTTTTGATGTGATTTTGTGCAACAAAAATCACACCAAATGTACAAACTGGGATTATTACCATTCACGCGCAAATGGCACTATTATTACTCTGATATTTTACAGCTGTTGATGGAATCAGCCTCTCTGAGAGCTACCACAGATTCAGGGAAACCTGACTACCAGCCGGCCTCAGAACCATAAAACTAAGCTTTAGAGCTGCACTCTTATATAAATTAAATAAAATTTCTTTAATATAAATAAAATAAATTAAATAAAATTTCTCTTAAATAAAATGATCTGCTTAGCTATAAAAACACAGAAACAAGCATAACCCATGCATTGAGTCAAGAAGTTCTAGCATTCAATATCCTAAACTATAAACAATGTAATAAAAATACATCTACGTTAGCCTAATAGATGAATAAGTGAAGCAAAGCTGGTCAACAGATAAAATCTGTTTTCCCCTAAGTCTTTACTTAGAAGGTCGGTCACAATGCAGTAGCCGTATACATAATACGTTTGCCAAAAATTAGTATTTTTATCGAGACACCATTTCTAGCCTTTATTCAACCAAGAGCCTAAAAACAGGGAATATTAAAAGTCAGAGTTGGCTTCTCCTAGCTTTTGCTAAAAAAGCGTGTCCTACAAGGCACCAGGATATAAAGCAGGTTGTACTGGGTTACACCTGCTTAATGTCCTGCTGTCTTGAAGGATACGTTTGTTTAGGCTAAAGCTAGGAGAAGGAGTTGTAGTAGCTAAGCTTAGAGTTGTTATTAGAAATTATCTATTGAATTTAACATGTTTGAAAATTTTTTAGATAAATTTGATTTTACAGATAAAAAAAAATTGAATGTTGACATAAACGGAACATTCTGAACACGACAAAAACAACATTGCAATAAGTTTACATGTTTGTTCTTACTACATTAGGCACATATTTAGTTTTTTTATTACAAAAAGTAAGTGTGTTTTGAAGAACAAAAATGTAAAAGTGCGAAAGATTAGAAGAAAAAAAAAGATACTTTAGTGAAGTTTGATAAAAAGGCAAACAGTAAACCTAAATTAAAGTAATATTTAGCTCTACCTATTGTACAGTATTTAGAAACAATAAAAGATTATTTAAGTTATTTCAGTTACTAGAAATTAAGAAAATGTTTTATACCTTATACATTACAGAACTAAACTGTTTCAGTACGTATTTTTTTTTGTGATGTAAAAAGGTTTTAGAAACACTACTTTGACCAATATAAAAAAAAGAAACAAAGATTTAAAAAAAAATTTCTTTTTAAACAAACCTTTTTCTTTGTAAACAGCTAGTTGATAGAAGAGTATTTAAAATTTATGGTTATGAAACCTGAGTAAAATCAAAATCCAAAATAGTCTTCTGAAAAAACTTTAAAAAAAATTTTGTTTATAAAAGTGAATCGCTTTCTTTTTATAAAGTTTTTTTAAAAGTTTCTTTTCCAGTGGCATTTACATTTTAAAACTATTTTTCAACCAGTAATAATTAATTAAAGATAAGTTTTTTATTAATTTACCACTACCTATTCATTCATTCATCCATTTCAGCCGTAATCTAATCTTCCTACCATTCACTGTTTTTTATAATTAATTAGCTATTGATGATTAAAAAGCTTCTTTGTGTTGTTACATAAATGGTATATGTTTTCTTTGCACATACTACGTATTTGTTTTATTCGCTTTTTAATGGATTTCAACATTAAAGTTCCATTGCACCAAGCCTATACTAAATTTTTTATCGTCATAAAATGTTATAACAATTATAAATGTTATAGCTATTATAGATATTACAGTATATTATTCCCATAATATTTTTATAACACATTCCATGGAAATGGAAAGAGATGTAGAGATAATGAAATGCATATTTTAATTCTAGAAACTCCATTTTTCAATATTTGAACTCTTTGTCTATTATGCAATCTTTTTGTTACAAAATATTTTTGATTTAAATTATATTTGAGCGATCTTAAATACTTATAAATGAAAATGGTATTTTATGTAAATAATTAATATAACATCTCTTTTTTTTTTGTTTAAGTAGTTTTACTTTTTTATCAAGGTTTCGTATTGCTTCAATTTCTTGATGGAGATATTTTTTCATGGTGTTGTTTCTAAACAATACATTTTTTGCGTTTTGTGGTTTTGTTAGTATTTTATTTTTATTTTTTGTAATATTTTTAGTTTTTTTTTTTTTTTAAGTTTTAATATTTATCAAAGAATATCTCTTTTATATTTAAGGTCGTAAGTTTCATGACCATAGCGTCGAAAAATAGCTCAAAATCATTCCATTGCGTTCTCTATATATATTTTTTTATATATTTATATATCCTATACTCAATGTAACAGTTACAAAAAAGGTTTAAAAATGATAACCATTTTAACTATAATTAATTAATATTACATTTCAAAACAATTATGATGAAATATACAAGACATTTTTATCTCTTATCCGTTGAAATATATAAAATGAAAGCCAGATATAAAACAATAATTTAACATTATTTTATATACACTTTTACATAATTCAGAAGAGGTGGGATCCTGCATTTTTTTTAGTATTTGAGATAACTAACTTCCAGACATGGAAAAAACTCTAAACATTTATATGTTTATAATTATGTCAAATAAATATTAAATTATGCAATGATTGAAGACTGGGAACCAAAAATCTCTCAGTTTAAGGTAGCTAACGCAGAAAGTTAGCTACCTCAAACACCAATAAAATGCTAGATCTACCCCTGTAATTTTTACATTTTCATTAATTTCTTTTTGTTAATTTCATATTTTTGTAAATAATTAATATTTGCAACAGAAAAATTTAGTTTGCAGCTCCTCTAGAGTTAATTTTATTACTATTAGTTTCAAAAGAATTGTTATTAAACGAACTTAAGAAAAACCCCATTTTATGTCTGACCATAAACAATATATTTTGATATGTACTAATTTGGTTTATCTGTTTTTATCTGTTTGAGTATTTATCTGTTTGACTAGTCGATTTGCATACTTATGAAACTTTAAGAAAAATAATTCTAGAAGTTTCTGTCATCAATGGAGTAGCTTTTTGTTTTATGGATACTTGCCTATGTTACACTGGTGGCCAAAAGTTTGTATCCATCCCAAAAAAACACGAATTTTTAAACATTTTATCATAAAACCTTTATTTTATGTAAACATTGACATAAATGTGTATAAATTAAGTTGCAACAATATTTTCAATAGTTTAAATAATTTAAATAGTTTCAATATTTACAAGCATAGCCTTTATTTTTTAAAACTTCCTTGATACGGCCAGGAATTGAAAGCAGAAGTTTTTGACAGTATGAAAGATCAATTTTAGTGCACCAGACTTCAATAATATTCTTCCTTAGTTCTTCAACAGAGCTTGGATTTTTTTTTGTCAACTTCTCTTTTGACTTGGCTTTAACAGTTTTCGATAACATTTAGATCTGGGCTGTTGCCCGGCCAGTTTTCTAGCACCTCAATTCCTTCATCGCTATTTTGTAGTAGTTTTGGCAGTGTATACAGGAGCACCATCTTGTTAAAAGTAAGAGGTATTATGAATGTCCATAAAATTTTTCAATTTTTCCTTTAGGATATCAATATAAACTTTAGCATTAATTGTAGTGTTTTGTGGCATTAACCATAATCCACCACGTCCCTGTGCAGAAATGCTGCTCCATATCATCACTAGCAGATTTTTTTACTTAACAAGTTGTGTTATTGGTGTTGTATCTTTGCAAAGAAGGCTTTCTGACATTTTGAATTGATCCAATTTCCTTTAAAGAGATTCTTGGATTATTTACCACCATTCTTTTTATCAAATTTTCCTTTTTTAATATTTATTTGAACAGTTTGCTTACATACACCAATTTTTTCAGCAATTTGTCTTTGGCTAAAACCTTCTTTAAAAAGTGCATATATTGCACCACGTTTGTTGGTTCTAAATCACCCTTTGCAGCATCAAAATAAACTAAATCTCATTTATATTACTTCGCATATATTTTGAATTTTATTATTATTATCCTTAAAAACCAAACAAAATAATAAAAAAACATCAAAAATTAGAAAAATTGGTTTTGAATATTTTGGCCACCAGTGTACATGGCAGCTATTTTTTATTAAAAAGTTCAAAAAGTAGTCTATAGGAGATTTTGGGTTTCCTTTGTCAAAAGGAAAACTACAAAAACATGATGTTGTTGTTGAGAAAATCAAGTGGGACCTTTGTGCAGATTTTAAGATGCTAGCATCTCATCTTCATCTACACGAAGGAAACACTTAATACTTATGTTTTTCTTTGTTTATGTAGTAACTGTTTGGGGTAGGAGAGATGATAACAGGCTGCTATTGCATACTGTACGATACACACTAGCGGTGCGCTATTAATCTGTGCGATTTAGTTTTAGTAGAAAACTTAATCGTACGGTACTTCTAGGCATGATTTCTGAAATAATAAATTTGGTTAGGAATATATTGCACTAGCCATATGCAATATCGAAAGCAACAACATTAAAACAATAACATTAAAACAACAACATTAAAACAACAACAAATTTATTTTTCTAAAATAACAATTTACTGTACTTTTTACTTAATAATTTATATTAATTTGTCACACAGAGACTCAAATAAAGCGTATTTATGTATCTATAATCCCTTAAAATATTAAATTTAATTTCATAACTTTTTGTCAAGTTTAAATTTATTTTCACTAATTAACTAATGTCTTAAACTTAAACTTAAAAAAAAAAAGTTGCTATAGTAATTGCAAAAGTAGTTGAGTATATATAATAGTTGTTCTATTGATACATTTATACTATCTTGTTTATTTTAGTTAAAATGTAAACGAATGATTTCTCATTTGTTTATAATTTAACTTAAACATACGCAAAAATTATATGGATTTTTTGCAGAGGTGGAAAAAGTAAAAAAAAGTACTGTTACTTGAGTGAAATTTTACTTACAAGTAAAACGTACAAGTAAAAGTTACGTGTCAAAAAGTTTACTCAAGTAAAAGTAAAAAGTAGCTTATTAAAAATGTACTCAGAGTAAAAGTTACTGCGTTACTTTTTCAGTAACAGTCAAATAAAAAAACAAAAATCACGTACTCTATTCTTTTCTGTGCAAAAAAATTTTTTTTGCACAGAAAGTTTTTTTTAAGGTCGTAAAAAGTGAAAATAAACCAAGCTAAAGCAGTTAAAATTCGTTATGAGCGCGCTCAACATTTCTTTCTAAACAGTTTAAAATTGCCACTTTTATTTAAGTGAGCAAAACTCAAAAAAACAAAAAAATAAAATCATTATTTGTGAAATTAATAATAATTTTTTTTACTCAGCAACGCATATGATTTCAAATGTAGCGAAGTGCAATACTTTAGAAAAAAAGTACTTAAGTAAAAGTAAGAGTACCCATTTAAAAAAATACTCAAAAAGTAGAACTTCTCAAAATAACTACTCAATTACAGTAACGCGAGTAATTGTAATTCGTTACTTTCCACCTCTGATTTTTTGCATAAGTTTAAGGCCGTTTTCCACAAGACGAAATATTCGCGCGAAGCAAATTTTTTTGCTATGACGAAACGCTGTTTTAATCTCCACTTACTTTCTTTCGCGCTACTTTTTTCGTTGTCAACAATAAAAATAGCAGCAATAAGTTTACGCTGTATGTTTAACTAAAAGCAGTTATTATTTTTTAGCATACTTTCTCCTTGAAAATTGCATGTGAAAAGAGCAGTTTATTTCAATTATTTTGCTATGAATCGTGAGTTTTTGATTTTTCTGTTCATACAAATACCTTTATTTATTGCTTTATGGGGAAGGTCAGTTGAGTACGGTTTCCGTAAGTTACGCAAGAGCTACAAAAGTTTTGTAAATCCGCACCGAGGTTCGAAGCGACTCTTGGACATATTTCGCATCACGGTATGAAAGGAGGCGTGAACTTTCTGGTTAAATGCACTTCCGCGGCGCTCTGTGACAAGACCGTTAGGTCTTCTTAGGGTACCTAGATAACGAAAAATAATATATATATATATATATAAATATATATATATATATATATATATATATATATATATATATATATATATATATATATATATATATATATATATTTATATATATATATATATATATATATATATATATATATATATATATATATATATATATATATATATATATATATATATATATATATATATATATATATATATATATATATATATATATATATATATATATATAAAGTAGTTTTAAATATACGTTCTAGAGATCATTAAATTTTCAATTTATACTGCAAATGTCCTCTACAAATTTTGTAGAAGATATTTGCAATAAACATTTTAAGAGGATTGAGCGAGTTTTTTTAATTTTTCTCCCCGCGCCTAAAGATTATTTGGTCTTGCTTGCCGCTAACTTCAGATAATTCGTTCTTTCAACTTCCGTAGGCCTTCGATAGACACGGTTAGTCATTTTGATTTTAGGAGTTATCCTAAAAAATATCCTCTGATATCTTCTACATCGTTTCATTTGTGATTATTATTTGTTGTTACAATTATATCTAGTATAATAGTAGAAGTAGTATTATATTTAATAGCGTTGTATTTGTAGATGGCACCTCGTCTTGTTCTTCGCCGACGATTATCTTATAATTCAAGCTCTAATAGCAGAAGAATGTAAGTAACTTTTCTAAATTTATTTTTTATCAATTAATGTAAATAAGTATTGATCAGAATATTTCTATTGACATGCACTTATTAATTCAAATTAGTACCTTATTAAAAATTTTTATATCAATTATGCATGCACGACTTTTAAATTGATTTGAATCAAGGATAAAGCAGGAAAAAAGAAAGTTTTCTGATTTTCTTTAGGTGATCTTGCTTTATCTTTGGTTGGTTGTTTAACAATGGAACAAAAAAAACAATTTTTGGAACAAATTAAGAGTTTACAAACTCTTTATGAGCAACACCATAGCGAATTTGTAGAAACAATTGAAAAGTTAAAAAAAGAAAACGTTGAAACATGGAGTTTAACTTCTAAAATAACATCTAATGCAGAGATGAACATTAAACTACAAGAAGAAAATGTCTATTTAAAAGAAAGTAATTTTGCTTTAAATGAAAAAATAAATAAACTGAAATCTAAGATTAAGCAAAACCAGCAGGATTTTATTAAAAAAATTGCCCAATGGGAAAAAATTTACCAAAAATGTACATGTAAAATAACCAATTCTGCAAAAAGAGTTAATTCATCTGTTAAAATTAAAAAGGATATTTCAAAAATATTTTTTGCCTCTCCAGATGTGAGCTCTGTTAACAGCAAAATGTTAGTAACGCTTGAACATACTTTGGATCAACCTGCGCCAATTTGTAATTCTACATTTAATGCTAATTTGCTTGTCAATAATACTCAAAATTCAGATGAAAACAGCTGTTCTGATATTTATAATTCTTGTTTTAGTAAAACTACAAGCCCCTCATTGATATCTAACAATAGCATAGTTACTAATTCAATAATTAAAAATAATTTTTTATTATCTTATGATATTTCTAAAACAAAGTCTTCTGAATCTAAAATGTCTAGTAAAGCTATGTCAAATTCATCTAAATATGAGTTTAATGATAAATTGGCTCTTTTAAAAGAGCATACAGCCAAGTCTAATAAAGAAAACACAATTAACATAAAAAATAGTTGTGCAGAAATTAACCAGTGTACCAATTTCGAAAAACTTGATTCTGTGAATTCTAAAAAAGATTATTTGTTCAAATTTGATGATGTTGTGCGCAACAAGAAATCAAGTGAGCAACTTAAAGGTTTTACTTGTGCAGAGTGTGAGGCTTTTTACCGATCTGATAGTTTATCTAAAAATCAATTAAAGGATATCCTAAAAAATTGCTCTCGTCATAAGCGCAAGTTTTCTCCTCCACCTGCAACTCAGCCGGAGTTTTGGAATATAGATTTTCCAAATACTCAACAGTATATAAAAAAAGGTTACATGTTAGATGAAAATTGTGTTTTACCTGATTGTGCTAAACCAAAATGGCACACCAAAAAACTGAATGCTATTAGTGATGTAACTAAAACTGAATAATTAAAAATAGTTTTAATTAAAATTTTATTTGCTGTTTTGTTTTTAATGTAATTTATTGAATATTTTGTTTTTGTTGAATCATTTGTTCATTCTTTAAGTTTTTATTGTAGAAAAGTATAAGTATGTACTTGAAAGTTGCTGCTTATGCATGTCTTTGGTATGCAACTAGTTCGGTTGAATCCATGACGCAGAAGGCTTTTTACCTCAAATATCCATATCCCATTACAGTGAGTTTATCACACATGGCGTTTAATGTAATTATGTTGTATTTGTTGCTTAAGCTGCTTGGTTTATCAACACACATTGTTAAAGAAAAGTCTGTTGTAGTTTTAGGTTCATTAAAAATTGCTGCTAGTATTTTTTCTCATATGAGTAATTTAATGTTGTCAGTACTCTATGCTCAAACAATAAAAACTTTAGCGCCTATATTAACCATTCTGCTTTCACGAGTTTATTATAATGAAAAACAAAGTAGTTATGTATATATTGCAGTGTTGTTAATGAGTCTTGGTGTAACTATCGCTACTGTAACTGAATTAGAATTAAATGTTTTAGGGATTCTTGCAGCTGTTTTAATGACTGGTTCAAGTCAATGTAGCATGTTTTTTTCAAAGTTTTTTTCTACCAAACTGAATATGGATCCTTTGGCTATGTTATACAATATTCATGTTGTTGGCTTAATTGGTGTACTACCTATATGGTTCATAGTAGAATTGCCATCAATTTCATATCACTGTACTGTAATGGAAGAAGGAGAGTATAGCGTTTTTTTCAGATACCTGTTATTTTTTGGTATATTAAGTTTTACCAGCCATGTAACAAAATTTTCTTTGCTAAGAATTGTTACTTCTGTTTCATATGCTATAATTGATTCTGGGAATTGCATTGTTAAAGTAGTAGTTACTGCCATCAAAAACTCTAATTTGCATTCACCTAGTAATGTTTTCGGAAGTTCGCTTGCTATTTTTGGCGTTATGCTTTATAGTCAAACTAAAATAAAAAATAAGGTTCATTAATGTAAAATTGAATTTATTATGTTAAAGTTGTAAAAAGTTTATAGTTGTTTTGTTTTGATGAAAAATTATTTATTTTGCATGTTGTTTTCTTTTTTATGCCTTATCGACTTCAGATCAAAGACACCAGGTATTTATAACTTTAATTTATTATTTTTTCTTAAATTAACTTTTTGTCTACCAATATTTGCTTCTTGCAGGAGGTAGACTTGTATATCTTTATACAAAAAAGGCCGGAACCACTCCAAAATGTGGTGATTGCAAAGAAAAGTTACGAGGAGTAAGTTATTCTTGTTTAATGTGATAATCTCAATATTATTATTTTTTTCTAAATTAATGAATTTAGAATCTTATTTTGAATTAATAGATCAAGGCTGTGAGACCAAAGAAGCTTGCAAAATTATCAAAAACTAAGAAGACTGTTTCGCGTGCATATGGAGGAAGCCGATGTGCATCCTGCGTTAAAGAACGGTAAATGTCAATTTAATATTTAGTCGTATATGCATGTTTTTATTTTATTTTAACATCCATGTTTATGTTTTAGAATTGTTCGTGCATTTTTAATAGAAGAGCAGAAGCTTGTTGTACGTGTTCTTCGAGCACAGCAAGGAAAAGTTACTAAACAAAAATAATTTGCAATTATATTCTTGTTTTTTTTTTTTTGTTTTTTTTTTGTGTGTGTGTGTGTTTAATTATTAGGTCCTCATAATTTATGAGCTATGGGTTTAAAATTATGAAAGCTCATACTCCCTTTTTATCTAACACCGAAATGAAATCTGTTATAAATCATCTTTATGTTATTTAAATCATTAAGTTTCGATAAACATTTGATTAAACTTTTTATCAAATATTCAATTTTAAACTTTTCCTTTTTATTAATCTTTTTGTTTAAAAGTGGCACAACTAAAAACAACTTTAAAATATAAATTTTAATTATTCTTATGAGAATTTCAAATAAAATTGTTATCAGCTCAAATATCAAGCGGCTGCAAGATAGTCGGTATAGTAAAAATCGATACCGAAAAGAATGATCTCATCGCGTGGTATCACTTATATACTAACGTAGATAATATCAGTATCGTTTCGATACCGAGTAGTATGGTCCTATATCGTGTGGTATCGCTTATGTACTAATGTCGATACTATCAGTATTGGTTCGATAACAAACGATACCGATAATAAATCGTATAATATCGCATTGTCCCAAATCGTAACTCAACAATCAAAACTAAAAAATTAAAGTGACATTCACGGCTGTTTCACTCAATACAAAAGCGAGCCTGACGTCACAAGAATTTTTGTTTAAAAAAGAAAAATAATTCCGCATTAAAAGTATAAAAATTCACTAACTTAAAAATAATAATTTTTTCTTTATAAATGCATCTTCAAATTAAAAAAATATAGAAGAACTATTTTTCTTCGTTTAATAAATATTTACTTTTACGAAATAATAAAAAACATTAAAATATTGTAAATGATTTGAGATCACTTGTGTAATTGGCGATTGTTACGAATAACCTGTTTTAGGCCAACCAAGGTCTGATAACATAGCTGCATGGTTGATGGTTTAAATTTGGAACATTTATCCATGAATGTCTAGTCTATCTGATTTTCGGTGATAGTAAATAATTTTTTTAGCGAAAGTTAGTTTTTAATGCATTTAAACTCAAGATATGTGCCAAAAGCTTTGCAATTCCATTAACAAAAATCTTTCATAAATCCTTTAATTCTGGAGTAGTACCCACTCAATGGAAATTAGCAAATATTAGTCCGATCTATAAAAAAAAGGGAGATAAATTACTGGTAACATGTAACCCAGTACAACCTGCTCCATGTCCTGCTGCCTTGTAGGATACGCTTTTTTAGGCAAAGGCTAGGAGAAGTTAACTCTGAATTAAAACACCCCCTGCCTTGGGGCTCTTGGTTGAGTAAAGGCTAGAGATGGTGTCTCGATAAAAATACTCATCTTGGGCAGATGTTACATGCATCCAGCTGCTGTCTTGTAGAAGGCCTCCTAGGCAAAGACTTAAGGGGTAAACAGATTCTATCTGTTGACCAGCCTTGCACCCCTTCCTCATCTATTAGGCTGGCGCAGATGTATTTTTAATACATTGTTTCCAGTTTAGGATGTTGAACGCTGGATCTTCTTGACTCAATGCGTGGGTATTGCTTGTGTCTCTATTTTTATGACTGGGCAACTCATTCTATTATCTCCTAATGAGGGTACAGCTCTAAAACTCAGTTTTATGGTTCTGAGGCCGGCTGGTAGTCAGGTTTCCCGAACTCTGTGGTAGCTCTCAGAGAGGCTGATTCCATCAACAGCCGAAAAATATCAGAGTACTAACAGTGCCATGTTGCGCATGGATGGTGTCCCTGTTTGTACTTTTGGTGTGCATTGCAGAGGCCACATTTGGAGCCCTTTGTTACGGCTTAGGGTTTATTAATAGTAATGAGGCTATTGCTTAGTTGTTAAATAGTGTACTGAGTACTATCTATACTTGAGTCAAGTTCTTTATAAATTTGAAATGACTAAAGTACCTAAAACTAAAAAACACAAAAAACCATTGTCATCACCAAGTTCTCTAAACCTATCATTTACTAATATTCGTGGTCTTCGAAGTAACTTTTCTTCTGTTGAGTCTTATCTCTTACAAAGTTCACCAGACCTACTTGCTCTTTGTGAGACTAATTTGAGTTCGGCTGTCCCATCTTGTGATCTTAGTGTTGATGGTTATCTTCCTTTAATTCGTAAAGACTCCAATAATCACATGCTTGGCCTGGGCATCTACATTCGTAAGAACTCACCCATTTGTCGTGAAACTAGGTTTGAATCTACAGACTATTCATTTATGTGCTTTCGTTTAGCACAACTTCACTCTATCGCCTTTCTCTTTGTTCTATATCACTCTCCTTCATCCCAAGATTGCACTATTCTTGATGTTATTTCTGATCAAATTGACCAAGCCCTCTCTCTTTATCCATCGGCCAATATCGTCGTTGTTGGTGACTTTAATGCCCATCACACCGATTGGCTTGGCTCTAGTGTCAGTGACTCTGCTGGCGTTAAGGCCCTCAACTTTTGCCTTTCTCAATCTCTAACTCAAATAGTCAACTTTCCAACTCGTTTTCCAGACAACCCTAATCATTTACCTTCTCTACTCGACTTATGTCTTGTTTTGGATCCTAGTCAGTGCTCAATTTCTCCACATTCACCCTTAGGTACTTCTGATCACGGTTTGATCTCTCTAAAACTATTATCAAATTCTTCTACTTCATCAGAATCCCCCTATCATCGTACCACATACAACTACCTTAAAGCTGACTGGGACTCTTTCCGTGATTTTCTTCGTGATGGCCCTTGGGTAGAAATCTTTCGTCTTCCTGCTGACAAATGTGCTTCTTACATAACTTCGTGGATTCAGGCTGGCATGGGATCTTTTATTCCCTCTCGACGATTCCAGGTCAAGCCTCACTCTTCTCCTTGGTTTTCCTCACATTGCGCTGCAGCAATTTCTAATCGAAACCGTTACTTCCATATCTATCAGCAAAACAATTCTCCAGAAAACAGACATCTGTTCACTATCGCCAGAAACCATTGTAAAAAGGTTTTGTCTGACGCCAAAGCTCGCTATTCCCAGGTCATTAAATCTCGTATCTCATCACAAAAATTAGGCTCTCGAGACTTCTGGAGAATCTTTAACAGTATCAATAATAAGGGCAAATCTGTTATTCCTTCTCTCTTGTATGGTTCAGACTTTGTCACCTCACCTAAAGACAAAGCTGAATTGTTTGCTAAGAACTTTTCATCAATATCATCTCTTGATTCCACTAGTTGCGTTTTACCTGACATAGCCGTCAAACAAGTTGATCCCTTGCTTGGCATTCGCATCACTTCAGCTTCTGTATCTAAAGTAATTTCCTGCTTAGACTCTTCAACAGCTTGTGGTCCTGACAACATTCCTGTTGTAGTCCTGCAGAGGTGTTCTCCGGAGCTTTCATCCATACTTTCTAAAC